TCGTGAACCACAAGAAGATACCTACATCTCCCAGCGCCGACATATGACAGTCTCACGTCCACGTACTACTGATGATCAGATAATTATCGACGCCGGTATGAGCAAAGAGTTTCATCGAAATTAGCAACGGCTATGTCAGCCTTGATCGTGCGAATCGAACTTACTTCCATGGGTGAAACTGTCAACCAACAACCAGCTAGTGGATTGGGCCCAAGCAATTGTGATTGCGATACTGTTCTGGAGTTTGATGCCCAGTTTCAAGACCAATTGAGGGATCTGCCTGGCTTCTTTCAACTTGATCCGGTCAGTATCCAACACAGTCAGGCCATCTGCGAAGAGTGACCGTACGTGGTCTGGAGCAGCTAGTTCTGCACTTCAGCGCGCTTACTCGGCTGTGCTTGCTGCACCGCCGCTTCCATTTCGAAGGAATCACATAGAACAGACATGACTATTCCAGAAAGCTAGGCTTACCGACGGCACGGATAGTCCTAAATCTCCGGTTATTGAGGGACGATACATGCCCGCTGGTGAGCGTGGATCCATGCCGACTTTGGTCAGTCATGGAACATGTTCATGCTGCAGTTCTGTTAGCCAGTGATGTGTCTCTGTATCTGGCCGCGGTGAATGCAGCAGTGTGTCTGGAAGAAGTTTAGGCAGCTCATCGACTACTGGAACAGTTGACATCTCATCTTAAGCGCGTCCCTTGGGCGTTACACACTTGCGGATGACCTTGCAGGGACGGTGCTCGCTGGCGGAGACGTCAGTTGGTAGGGGTAGATCATTGGGACAGGAGGCAGAGGAAAGTACTGCATCGCCTGCAGAGGGCCAAGTGGAGTCAGCTCTGGGGCGAGTTTGTCAAGACAGCCGCAATTGGATTTGCAACTTGAGCGACACTCCTAGTTGATATGGACGGGACACAAAGTACCGAGCCTGCGAGCCGTCCATAGGACCGTGGGAAATTATGGTTTGTCTATACTGTCAATGTAGCCCCTTAGAGGAGCAGTCATGGGGTCGCTATGATGGATCGGCGAATATGCAAAGCGCTTACGAGCTGACGAACGCCGATGAACCCGGGGAAGTCTCGCCCATCTGGTGTTATAGCATGATCAGATATAGATTCCTTCTGTTCCCCTTTCTGCTTCCCTGTTTTGTTCCAGGACCCTACGGCACAGTGAGAACAGGGGCTAATATGTTTCTCGACAATGATTCTGGATAGTACGAGCATCTACTAGAACGAGTGTCAAAAGTCGGCAAGCCAGCACACTTTGGGTTGATGGCTTCAGATATATTTATCTACGTCGGAGAAGACAGGGATATCCAGCGGGGATGGTTTATAGCTTGCATCAGATTTCCGGATTTCACCCTTCAAGAAGACCACCCGTCGAAATTACCGCTCTCTTTTCTTGAACACTCAGATGGTTCTATGACCGAGTCTAGAGAAAATACTCAATTGTCAATGATATTTAAGCCGTTACCTACACGAAGACCTGGGAGGAATGCCAGCGACGGCTGCGACTTGGCGAATGAAATCTTCCGTTGCATCACAGGTCAGACCATCGTCCACGTTTTGCTCCACCTATAGCTCGTATTCCCATCACCATCCAATACTAAGATAAAGTAAGTCCAATCGAAGGATTCCTATATTATCTACTTTGATAGATATCGGGGAGCCGGTCGGCGACCAGGGCAAACAATCGGCGACCGAGACGGGCCGATGTTGATGACTAAGTCGCCGAGCAGTGATCACGCCATCGTACTTAAACAGTGGAGCCCCGAAAACTTTGGGGAATAAAGACTACTTTGTACTAGTGGCGTGGTTATAGACTCTAGGAACGCGGGTCTCGTCCAGCTCGTGGCCCTTTCCCCAAATTTCTTTGCAAAGCTTCAATTTCTGTCCTGTGCATACTGTGTATATTGCATCCCTTCATTGAATCAATCAATCAATCACACGCTAAAGATATACACACCAAAAAAATGTTCTGCCGCAACGTCACGTCGGCAGCATCCACGGCTGGCCGTGCAGCACAGCGGACTTTCGCAACAGCCGCACCGGTGAGCCCCGTGGCACGCAGTCACAAGGTAGTCGTCGTCGGCGGAGGCACGGCCGGTCTAGCCATCAGCCATCAATTGCTTCGGTCAGGCAAGTTCTCGCAAGATGACATCGCCGTCATCGATCCATCCATGTGGCATCACTACCAACCCGGCTGGACCCTAGTCGGTGGTGGTGTCAAGACCAAGGAGGATCTGCGTCGCCCAATGCACGATCTGATCGACCCCAAGTTCAAGTTCTACAACCAGAGCGTGGGCACCTTCCTGCCGGAGAACAACTCCATCACCCTGGGCAACGGCGACAAAGTCAACTACGAACACCTGGTCGTCGCCCCCGGAATCAACATCAACTACGGCAGCGTCAAGGGTCTGCCCGAGGCTCTCGCCAACCCGGATTCCCTAGTCTCCTCTATCTACGGCTACGACACCTGCGACAAGGTCTTCTCTACCGTGCAAAAGCTGCAGAAGGGCAATGCCATCTTCACCCAACCCGCCGGTGTCATCAAGTGTGCCGGTGCCCCGCAGAAGATCCTCTGGATGGCCCTGGATTACTGGAAGCGCGCTGGTCTATACAACCCCAGCAATCCCGCTAGCTCGCCTATCAACATCAGCTTCGCCACCGGCATGCCCTCCATGTTCGCCGTCGCCAAGTACGGCGCTGCGCTCGAGGCGCTGCGCAAGGAGCGCGGCGTTGAAGGTCTCTTCCAGCACGATCTGGTCGCCATCGACGGCAACAAGGCCACTTTCGCCCGCCCCGATGGCCAGGAGCAGGTGACGAGACAGTTCGATCTCCTGCACGTCGTGCCGAAGATGGGTCCTCACGCGTTCGTCAAGGATAGTGCTTTGGCCAACGAGGCCGGCTATGTCGATGTGGACGCCGGCACTACGCGCCACACCAAGTACGCCAACGTCTGGTCCGCCGGTGATGCCTCCAGCTTGCCCACCTCTAAGACCGCGGCCGCTATCACATCCGAGGCTCCCGTTCTTGTGCACAACCTGCTGCGCTCTATGGAGGGTAAGCCGACTGATGCGGTTTATGATGGATATGCCTCTTGCCCGTTGGTTACGGAGTACGGCAAGGTCTTGCTTGCCGAGTTCAAGTATGGTGGTGAGCCCAAGGAGACTTTCGGTAACTGGTTCGGTATTGATCAGGCTGTTCCTCGTCGCTCATTCTACCATCTCAAGAAGGATTTCTTCCCCTGGGTGTACTACCAGTCTCTGGTTAAGGGTACTTGGGCGGGACCTAAGGGGTGGACGAACTAGGGTAGAGGTTGGAGTTTAGATGGTTTCATGTATAATACTAGTTAGCGTTATCATCAAATATTAGCGATGTGGAATTGTTAAACGTGTTTATACCGTAGAGGTGTCTCTGGATTCGGGAGTATTTGGTGGGCCGTCGTAAATATAGTGCTCCATAGATGTCAAAGTACTGACAATTGAGTGAGCAAGTTATTATCCTTGAAGCGTACCTTCAGGGTGTTGCCCTTTAACTCTTTTCTTTCATATATTCATCTAGGATGTAGTGACATTGGTTCTTCTATAATACATGAGTATATACCATCTATATCTTCGCCGATCTAGCAGGTGCAAAATTCGATCCCAACCCCTCACCAATGCTCTCAACAATACTATCCACACTGCGTATAATCCAAGTATTCCCCTCATCACTAGCCAACCACTTCGCACCCTCTTCTTCTTCCACATCAGCCACCCACGTCCCATCCTCAACCGCCTTCCTCAGCCCAAACACATGTGACGTCACCTGCGGACCAACCCCCGTCTGCGCTCTCAAACAAGCGATCGCAACAACCGACGTCGCCAATCTGCCCACACTCGCCCCGGTAGTCCTTTTCGGGTCAGACAGGAGCGCCCCATAGTTAGCGTTCAGAATATGAACGGGTAAGTCCGGGTGCGAGTCCGCCAGCTTATTGTATAGCTTCTTCTCGAAGGGACGGTAGATGGAGTCCCAGAGGTTCTGGCCCCTCGTACATATTTCCTGAATATTCTCGGGGTTCGGTGTGCGGGTGGGTGTTTGTGATAGTTGCGAACTGATGGATTCAGGGAGACTGGCTTTGAAGGCGTTGAGGCAGTTGATGGTCCGGGGGATGCCGTTGAAGCTGATGCATTTCAGGCCGACTTCGCGCATGAATTCTGCTGTCGCTAGGCTCTCTTTGGCGGATTGGGAGGTGCTGGCGAGTTGGTACAGCTCTGTTAGGGATTCGGGGGAGTTCATTGTCATGGTGGTGGCTGTCTATTGGGGGTAGAGGAGAGGTTAGCTACCGCTGCGGATGCTGATGCTGCAAGTAGAGGAGGAATTGGGAAGAGAACACCGACCGATAGAGCTAGCCATGATGATTGGGATAGGTTCTGCGACTGCGCGCCTTGTTGGATCTTCCTGTATATAGATTGGATGTTCGACGGCGCGGGGACAGTGTTGGGGCGCGCTGCCGGGGCGTTGATCAGCGCCTTGAGTTGATGGGATAGTTTGGACATTCTCTTTCTTTTGCGACTGCCACCTGGAACGTTCATCGGGGTTGGGGGCGATGAGAATAGAGGAGGTGCAGGCGGGACGGAGTTCATATGCAGGCCGATGCGCGCTTCCCTTGTCTTATCTACTGCCTCGGCTTCCAGAACTGGCCCCGAGCACTGCCGACAAGCCCCGCTTGGGACTCTGATTGGCCAGCCGATGGAAACGCGGTCGGAGCGGGTCAATGCCTCTTCCGGGGGGACGCTAGGCCTGAAAAAGATATATAGTAGCCATGCCAGTTGTTGGATGGAGAGATCAAGAGGATGGTCAGATAGTACTATCGATGTAGTAACACGAAAACAATCATGATTCATACTAAGCATTACTGATGTCATAAGAACAATTCTAGTCTCATCATATCTGTATATACTCTATACATCTGAACATAACCTAAAATATGAGTTTAGTGTACACCCCATCTAGTCTACCGCAATGTAACCAATTCCTCAGCACTGGTAGGATGAATAGCCACACAGCTGTCAAAGTCCTTCTTCGTAGCGCCCATCTTCACAGCGACGCCGAAACCCTGGAGCATCTCTCCCACTCCCAGACCCAGGATGTGCAAGCCAACAACCTTCTCCTCCGGACCGGCGCAGACCAGCTTGAACTCGGTCGGGTTCTTCTTCTTCTCCTCAGCCGGCATCACGTCGTAGTACATGGCCGTGAACCGAGTGTGGTAAATCTTGATCTGGTCATCGCCGTAGCGCTCACGGGCTTCGGGCTCGGTGAGACCTACGGTACCGACCTCGGGGTGAGAGAAGACCACCGTGGGGATGTTGTCATAGGAAAGCTTGGAGTCGCGAACTTCGTCAGGGCCGAAGAGACGGTTGCCGAGTTGGCGACCGGCGGCAATAGCAACTGTTTGGTATTAGTTTGGCCATGATACGTTAAGAGATGGCAGGGGACAGCATGGAGGGGGGACACATACCAGGAGTCAACTCGGCGTGACCAGTCACATCACCCAGAGCATAAACACCGTCGACACTGGTGTTCTGGTATTCATCGACTTCGATGTGGCCGGACTTGTTCAGCTTAACGCCGGGGACATCGAGGTTCAGGTCCTCAACCTCGGGCAGGCGACCCACGGCCCAGAGGAGCTCGTTGACCTCCATTTCCGAACCGTCGTTCGAGATAAGCTTGAGCAGCTTGTCCTTGCCCTTACCATCGCGGATGAGCTGCACCTCCTTAAGACCAGGGTGCTTCTTGTGGATGTGGATGCCAGAGGCCTCGTAGCGCTCCGTCATAGTGTTCTGGATCATGGGGTCGAACTTGCGCAGGAACGTCTCGCCACGGATGAACATGTGCGTCTCACATCCAACAGCGCCCATGACACCGGCCAACTCCACCGCAATGTATCCCGCACCGACAACGGCAATCTTGGGAGGCAATTCTTCGATCTCGAAGAAGCCATCGCTGGTGATACCGTGCTCAGCGCCCTTGATGTCCGGGATGCTGGGCCGTCCACCGACCGCAATCAGAATGTGAGGGGCCGAGTACCGTGCCTTGGAGCCGTCCTCGAGCGTCACCTCGATGGTCTTGGGCTCGACGAAACCGGCGCGGCCGTGGACAAGATCAATGCCCTCGCGGCCCCAGTTGCGCTCGTAGATTCCGTTCAAGCGCTTGATAGTGGAGTCGCGGATTTCCTTGAAGTGGCGGTAATTCTTGTCGACATTCTCAGAGACGTCGTAGCCGTAGTGCTTGGCGACGTGGAGAGTCTCGTTGATGGAGGCGAAGTTCCAGGTCATCTTCTTGGGGACACAGCTGCAGGGATGATACTGCGTTAACGAGATGGTCCCAGATAGTAGGGGGAAAGAAAGAAAGAAAGAAAGAAAGCAGCTTACCCGACATTGACACAGGTACCTCCGGAGCGACCACTTTCCACAATCAAGGTCTTTGCGCCATACCAGCCGGCAGCTCTGCGTCCGCTACCGCTACCACCGCTACCACCACCGATGACGATGTAGTCATATTGCTTGACCTCAGTGGGGGCCATGTTGTTTGCGTCAGCAGCCGAGGAGGAGGATGAGAAATGTCTAGTGAGAGCAGAGAGACGGGATGCGACCGAAGAGGAGGAGCGGAGAGCCAGAGTGCTTTGTCGGGGAAGAATGGTGGACGGGGTGGCTGTAGCAATGCCTCTACCCTGGAGCAAAGGTGTCGCGACGATGGGAGAGGAGCGGGCGCGAATGCTAGAAGTTGGGGAGAGAAGAAGCCGGTTCTTAAGAGCCTGGGCGGGACGAGGACGGAGAGAGGGGCAGGAGAGCATGGAGTGCTGATGTGAGGGGAGAACAACAGCCACTGGTAGGCAAGGGAACTTAAAAGGTCGGAGGACGGGGCGGAGGAGGGGCTCTCAAGTAAGAAAAAAAAGCTGAGGGAGAGGAAGACGGATTGATGATTAGCTGGTCGGGGAATGGCGTCAATGACGGAAGCCCGCAATTAGTCAGTCAATCATTTTTTTAACTACTTCAACGATCAATCAATTAATAACTATTTTTATTTTATTTTATTTTTCCCCCCTCTAAACATAAGGCTCAAATATTTGAACTATGGGGTACATTGATCAGGAAATAATGAATCCGGAAGAAGAAATTATTGAATCATCCACGCTGATTCTGACGCAATGGGCGAGTTGGTAGAGGAAATACTACTTTGTATATTCCCCGACTCTCGGGATGCACGTGACAGAGACGCCGGGGAAGTGATTGATAAGCAGCCAGTTAGTCTAGACTGGTTGCAGAACTCGTGGGAGAAGCATCTAGTGAATTATATTATCAATCTAGTCGGATCTCAGAATCGGGATTTTATAGCTACTATCTTTAATGGGGCAGTGGCTCCAATCAATGCTATCTCGATTTTGATATAATGCTTTGCAGTGCTCCCATCCTTCCTTCCATATCATCATAACCTAGTAGTAGTAAGTTCACGAAGGGATCAATCATAACCATAATTTGGCCCGCCTTCCACATGGAAGATAGCAAGACGGGTCACCGTAAAGCTTGTTTCTCGTTCCTGCTGATCCCCATTCATGGCATCACATCCTTCATGCTTCCTAGTAGAAGTTACCTTTTCATACAGTCCTGATACTCGATTCCTGGCCGGATTATTGCCCCGGAAAAAGGTAGCGTGACTGGTGGCAGGGTCAATCCTCACTCCAACCCTCGATTGAGTGAATTCCCCCATGCAATTATGATAGTCCGTCTTTTCTATGTCAATTTCATTTACGGGCCCTAAAGCCCTTATGCCCTTTCCACCCAAGTGAAAGAGATCGAAGCTTGGCTGAAGCTGGAAGAGAAGTCGCGGAACGGCGATACTCTCCCTTTCCTCATTTGCAGCAGGCGACTGCGTATCGCCAGAGAAGAATGCCCCCACAACTACTCTCGTCGAGTCCTGGCCTTGGTGTCCCAGGAGAAGAACAAGATGCGACCGATGTTTCGGATCGTCATGACGAATATGCTGTAACACATGGCCCAGATCAAACCTGTCCGTCGAGTCATGACATTTGGAAAAGACGATCGGCTTAGTCTTTCGATGCAAATCGGTTTTCTGATGAATCTCAAACGATGGGACGAACAATGAGACTGCACGAAGGATTCCATCCCAAGTGGAATCTGGGGATGATTCCGTCTCTAAAGTTGACAACTCGGTGGGCAGGGAAGGTTGGAAAAGTGTTGCCCAAAGCTGATGGAACCATTGCTCTAGATTTGGCTAATGTGCGCGACATTGTTAGTCAACCTAATAAGAGTAGTAGAAAGATAGCAGAAGAGATCATTATTACCAAGATGCCTAGAGCCTCGAAAACCAAGTCGGGGGACAGGGACTCGTCCTGGTCATGGCTGAATGATCGGGCCAGGATTTTAGCCAGTTCTTCGTTCTCTGGACTAGGCTCTTCCAAGGAACCGTAATGAAAGCCACGACCCCAAGTCGTTTTGTAGACTTTTAGCCTCATGATCAGGCATAGTAAATCGGCCAAGTCATTGACCTTCATCTGAAACTGGACTGTCCTACCTTCAAGTAAGCGTCCCGCCAGCGGCATCAGCTTCTCGGGGGTTGCAGGCAATTTGGGATGGGAAGGACATATTGTAAGCATAGCATCGATGGCATCTTCGGTAACGAGGGTGTCGAAATTAGTGACGTGTGGATGTGAAGTCAGATGAGGACAACCAATGCTGATGCTTCGAAAGATCCGATTAATCCTAACTTTGCAGTTACATTTTTCCCGAAAAGGCCCCCAGCGACGACCGAAGCCGTCGTCTTCGATCCCGAGAAGCTCTGTGCCTTGAAGAGAGAGCAGAATGAGTGCACGCTCAAAGGTTGGCAGCTCTAGCTTATTGTCGTCTGCTCCGATGAGTGGGAACGGGTGATAGGCGTAGAAGCAGAAGCAAGACCAGAGGACATCAATAGCTGTCTCTGGGATGGTGGTATCCGGATGATTCCGAGCAAGGTAAATTTGAAAGCTCTTTTTCGTCCAATCTGGAATGATATCCAAGTGTCTTCTTAGCTAGTGTCCAGTATGGGATATCCCACTCGCTCACTGGGGTGGACTCTGGTGTGGGTAGGAGTACGTACAAGGCTGCTCCTGGGACGAGTCTTGAATGCTATGTGTGTAGAAGATGTCCCGTGGTGTCACTGTGCTGCTTTCTTCTTGGAGTAGACAGGTATGTAGATGTGAAAGCACAGAATCTGAACAACTCTAGTCAGCACCATTCTTTCATCCCTCGACAGTACCAGCCATTTACCGACTAACCCGGTGTGGTAGTGCGAAGGAATTGATCAAGCCTCTTCTTTTGATCTCTGAAGAGTATATTGAAGGCTACCCTATCCAAGACGGCCATCATGATTGTTGTTTTGAGTGTCCCTCAGCAGAAGATGAAGCGGTCTACTCAGGATTCTTTCTTCATACAACAAATCCGTAGGATTTATGGATCACCTTGGTGACAATGATTAATGAATGGGGCCAATGCGACATGGGGGCTACGGCTAAGGCGGCTGAGGCGGAGAAGTCAGCAGCTACAAATTAGATAGGTTAGTACCCAGGAGCCTCTCCACTGCATAGATAACTTGGTGCCTACTTATCTGTTCTACTGATTGTCTACAGACCAATCATATTGGTTTATTTGCCGGCTAACCGGCTCAGCCTTGTTGCTAGAAATGCACCTAGTTGGGATTTCGAGGGTTCTACCACGACTTGGCACGTTCTTAGTTCATTGCGGCTAGTTCATCTCGCAAGGCGCAACGGATAGGCTGGCCTGATATCGTATAGTAGCAGCTCCCGATGGGGTCGACATTCGAGTCGTATAGAGACTATGATAAGGCCTTCTACTGTCTCTACCCACAACTTTAGATCGACTTGTCGGAGATTCTTATTCACATGCTCCGATTAATGACAGGACATCAAAGAGCTTACCACAAAATTTACCTCACGTCATCTTGGAAGGATCACAGAACCACTGGGCTGTGCACCCCTGCCAAGTAACGGTTTCAAAATGCCCCCATTATGAAGAAATGGTCAACGCAGTACTTTGAGGCGCTAGGCGATCCTAATAGGGGGGCCAAAATTATCGGAATCCTGCGGATCATCCTTAATCGCTATGCAACAAAGGGAAAGCCCCGTGACCCTGTAACATGCCTGCTATCTAGTATCATCTATCTAAATATAAAGTGTAGTGGTTCTGCATTGGGAATCATAATAACCTGCATGTACTTCTAGTCGCGGTCAACTAATTGATCAACCGCTCCACTCCCTGTTATCTCCAAGGACCATGGAATTAATACCAAAAGGTTTCATAATGGAACAGGTGACTATTCAGAAGCAAAGTGGACCCTAAAGCTGCCCGCCCCCAATACTCGGTGGGACCTCGCCGTCTAAACGCCTGTAGGGCTCTTCAATCCAGATTAATTCTGTTGGTCCAGGGTCCAGGTATTGAATGCTAGTTGATCTGACCCGCCCAAAGCCGAAAGTATGACTTTACAGCCCCTAATATTCGTTCAATATGTCACTGGATAGTCCAATGCAGCGCGATACCACTCTGGTAGCTATCAAAATCGCCCCAATCCTTTCAATGCATTGCCTCGATACATAGAAGAGCGGCAAATCTATATAACTCCAGTTTGTCTGTTGCTTTGCGTTGTTCATCCATCCGTTCATTCTACTGTATAACACTCATTTACTATCAGCCATTGCCCTCATCACACTCATTCTATAGACCATTCGTTCTTTTCTCATATTGTTATTATTTATAATTCCGGAACATCCTTGCCGTCGGCCTATTTGGTGACAAAATGTGGTTTAACCTTACCACCAATCAGAAGGCCTTCGCCTTGACTTCTTTGCTCCTAACGCCCGGTGCCTTAGCAGCTGCTATACCGCCAAGCGAAGTCAACTCGGACTTGATAACGCCCTCATTTGTTGCTGATGTTCCGACGAACACACATGTCCCTACAACTGGAGCGGATGGAAGCCTAACCTCCGACCCAAATGTAGGTGTGACCTGTCGGGTGAGTACCAATGCTCTTCCTTTTCTCTTCTTATCTTCTTTTGATCGCTGTTTGGTTCTGACAAATCCAATTCCAGACCTGCGATGAAGACGGTACCCCGAAGAGCATCTGGGAAATTATTGCTTCCCAGCCGAATGCTGCTCCCAGATCCGTCGACGGGGTCCATTTCCTGACTGAGCGAGACGACGATACCCCGGAGAACATCTGGGAAGTTATTTCTGGTCCGCCGAATGCTGCACCTAGATCCGTTGACGGGGAACCTTCCCTGACTGAGCGAGACGACGATGCGGAATCTATCACTGGCCCCCACGGGTACCAGCCTTCCACCTCTGTTGACGAAGCCTCTTCCCTAACAGAGCGATCCAACGTTGATGCGAATGACATTACTTCCGAATTTCGAGAGGAGGACACCCTAAGCGGAAATTCAGATGATGATGTTGCACCATCGAAGACTACACGCCAGCCGACGACCGAGGTGAAACGGGCTGCAAAAGTCACCGGTGATGCCAAATATAAGAAACTTAAGGAAGCCCTCGGGAAAACACCAGAAGTTGGCCAGGGCTATGCCATCAAAATCAGTATGTACTAATGAAACCTCCGTCCCCAACTTGCCATCCTATCATCCCAGGTGCATTGTGCAGTAATTCTGACCGAACAATCTCTTTAGGGAGTGAACGAGCTCGAGTCGCCGGCAAGAAGGTCCCCGACCATTACCTGATAGCTGCAGGCTATGTGACCGAGCACAAAGAAGGCGGCGTCACTTATCTCAAATTTTCCTCTGGATGCTGGGACATTCAGCTCGAGGGCAAGAAGATTGTGTTCACAGATCGTGGTGCCAGCAGCTGGTATGACTGGAGCGAGACTAAAATGGAGGTGCTCGGTAAGATCAGGTCGGGCGTGGACAACACGGAGATCGAGAGATATGGGGAACAGATTGCCGCCAAGATGAATAAGAAGGGTTATAACACCCTTTTTAACAATTGTCGGGACTTTGTGCTTAAACTGTATGCCGAGATCAAGGCTTGATTGGAGGGTTTAGGGTTTGGGCCGGGGCTTCTGCTGGTTATACCATGTTAAGAGGTGTTCTGTCATGCATTTTGAGTGTGATAGCTGGAGGTATCTAAATGTCAGGTTGCTTGTAAATTACGTCCAGTAAGTCACGGCCTTTCCAGCATTCAATGTATATAGCCGTAGACTAGTCCTTTGTTGGACATAATGCAGAATGAACAATACGTTACTAGCAGGTGTTATTCGATCGCAGTAGATCAATTGAGCCAGGGAGAGCGTTGCTGCCCAGGTTGATTGAAATTGAGGCCGATTGCTAAACAGTAGTTCCTAGTAGCACATGGGGGCGACGCCAAGGGTGGCCAGGTGAGGGATGGACCATTAACAATCTTAGCTTTCAGCGCTTAGTAGTGCTTATTTATATACAAGGGTATTGAATGGGGGCCAAGGAATGCCACACACTCAACCACACATGTCCAATGTTATCTATTTATCTCCTGTTGATGAAGCTAGTCAGTTTGCTGGTGAATTATGACTAGGTCATACTTTGGTATCATATTCGATATTCTGGGTCATTCCAATACACTGTGATGTCTGCGCTAGTGACCGAGAAAATAAAAAAGAAACAGTTTTCAACTTCGAGTATTCACTCGAGTAATCATCCGAGCATAATAAGTACAGATGATCTCCACGTACTAGCAAGTACCATGTCCAGTTCATCCTGATTCCATCTCACCACCTCCAACTTAGTCTTGCGCCAATTGTACCCAGCTCTGCCAGCGGAGCTACTACATTACATGCAGTAACATATAAAATGCCTCGCAGCCCGCGGACCCATGACACTTTTCGAAAGCCTCCTGCTTTAACTTCTTGGCTTCTTCCTCCTCGGCCTTTTTCTCCTCGGGAGTTAGCTCTTTAGTCTCAGTTCCTGAAGCAGATTTTCAGATTTTGTTAGCTTCGCGGTAGCACAAACCCAGAACGTAGTTAGAGGGGTAGGGGCCAATGATTAGAATAGCACATACTTGCTGCGATAGTGTCGCTCTCTCGTTTCATCTGCATTGCGGATTCGTCGGTAGTCTGTTCATTGTCTTCGCCTTCACGGCAAGACTGGAGATCATTGGGTTAGAGCTCAGCGAGATCAAGTTAGCCGAGGTCATTCGCACTCACCTGACAGTCTGGGACACCTTCATAAGGGAGTGAGGCTGGACTGACATCCCCCTGACCGGTAGGCACTTGCGTGTTGGTTGGTGCCACAGAGACCGATGCCGGGTCAGGAACGCTCACGGGGATAGCAGCTGCTGAGATCCCAGATGCGAGGAGCAAAGAAGCTAGAATAAAGGCCTTTTGGACAGTGATCTGTCTGGACCACATTTCGACAATGGATGTGTTAATGGTGACAATTTAACGATTGATGATTGCAATGATAAAGAGTAACGAGTGGGCTTGTGCAGTAGTGAAGGAGAGTGAGAGTAACGATAGCAACAACGGACAAACACGGTGATTCTAAATGAATGATTGCCTAGTGATAGTAGCAATGAGGAGGGCATGACAGGGCTATATATAATTACCTTGACCTCCTAGTATATAAAACTAGCAAGACACTTCATGTAGTAGATCTAGGATAGTAGTATTGGGGCGGTTTCAAAAACTACCAGGGTATATAGCTGCGCCAACTACTTACCCTGGCATAGAAGGTGCACATCGAGTGTGAGCAGGACTTGGGGGCCAGCACATTTCTCCCAGTATAGAGCACGAAGCCAATGTAATCCATTGACTTCTGGTGGTTTGGCCCCCGACCGTGCAAGCCTAGCACCTAGAACTGCGTTATTTCCGCTGGAATAGAAGTACTGTTGCACCGAAGGGGCGGCGACTAAGTCAAACGGACAGGGATTGTGATGACAAGGCTGATCCAGAAGCAGCTGACGGACCTAGTAAACCCTGAGCAAGAATCATCTCTCGGGACGCATAGTCTTCAGTCTTGTCTACTCCGAGTGTGCAACGTTCATGCTGTAAGCTTGTTTTACAGTTGTAATAGTAGTAGCGAACGAAAATATATACAAGATTTATGGTGCCAGCCGAGAAAGAGAAGCTCGGACAACTTTCCTACCGTGTAGGATGAGATACACATTACTAGGGGGTAGCAGCAAGGCTGGGGCGAAAATAGCTAGCGACTTTCCACCCATCTACCTACTATGTACGCCGTACGTGCTTTGAGTCTAATTAGGATGAACTCCGTGCGTTGCTCAGCCTCTCTCACAAGACCCACCTTGGATGGATCCGCCGGGTCATTCCACCATCATAATACTAGACACAGCCAGCAATTCTCAGAATACACTCGAGCGAGATAGTCTAGACCATATATCTATAACGGTAAAGGTTAAATGGTGGCAGTGTGGTGTCAAAGGCCGATTCCTGGGGGTCTTTCTCCTGACATCCGGGGTAGAAGAGCGGAGCGGGAAGATCACTTAGCCGCCAAGTATCCGTCGCCAACCGTCAGACCAAGAAGGTGAGGTCTTTAGTTCATGATATAGCAGCATCATGAAACCCAGGTCAGAAGCACCAATTGCGGGTAAACGGCCGCGGAGAATCTAGTGGTGCTACCAGGCAGAGTCCGTGGCAAAGAGCTGTGGTCATGAACTCTACACTGGAATTTGCCATTCTCCGCATCATCTATTTTAACCGTTTGCAGCAGTCTCGGCTGCTTTTCACAGCAACCAGTAACCATTACCAGCCATGAAGGAAGCCTCTCTATATATCTACAGATTCTTGTTCTCTCAAATATTTGTTGTCTGCTGGCTTCTGTCCAAATGAATGAAGGCAGTTAATGTAGTTCATAGCAAACCAGTCGTGAAGATACTCACAAGTGCTTCTTCAAGAGCCAGAGGGTAATTAGGGTAATCGTCTCACTCAGACACTGATATACCCCTGTGGTGCAGCTTCATTGATACTTATAGAATCTTGTCCGTAGAGCCAAATACAATTTATTCGAACGTATTTTTGTCACAAATGGTTAACAAGCATTGCCAGCAAGTGCCCTTCTACCGATTTGCATTATCGCATCTTCACATCCTGCAAGAACTTGGCTCTTCATATCAAGACTATTTCTGCCAATTGTCCATCGTCTGCCGGCTATTAATGAAACAAAATGGACGAAAACATGTGTGACAGATTGATGTTCTAATACTTAGTTATGCGGCCTCGCTTAGTAAAATCACCTTTTAGCAGTCTCACTGGTTTATCCATTGAATGTCATTCTTCGTTTAACTTCTGCCGGAGCTTGGTGAGGAAAGTACGAGCCCTAGAAGCTGTTGAAGACATTGGGAAAGATCTTTGGCCTCAGTATGTATCTCCTGTGCCCTGAAGCGATTGGCATCCAGAGCACTCCGGAGTTTGAGGGGCAGCCCCACCGATAAGGGCCCGGGCGGTTATCGGCGGCGTCTCCGGTGAGAGACTCATGACTCTCTCTCTCTCTCTGTCTGACTCTTACACTTCTCCTCTCTTTCTCTTCCTCTCTTTCTCGCTCTTTCTCTCTTCCATTCTTCCACTCCCTCCTGCTACCTATACTTCTCTGTGGCTCCCCTGCTCCCTTTGTAGAACAGACTAAAACACCATCCCCGCCTCCCCAAGATCAAAAACCCCGCCATAAAAATGGCTGCCGCGGAGCTGAGTCAAGAGCAGCTGGACCAGATCTACGCCTTTGCGGTCGATCTGGGCCGCAAGGCCGGTCAACTTCTGATGGAAAGTGTTGAGAAGCGCATCGGCGGCGGAGCCACGCAGGAAGTTGAGGAGAAGGACAGCGCCGTCGACATTGTCACCCAGACCGATGAAGGTATGCTCTAACACGCCCTCAGCCTGCTATCGACTCGCATCTCACCACTGGACTGCACTGCACAGAAGTAGAAGTATTTATTAAGAACGCAATCCAATCCAAATACCCCACACATAAGTATGTTCCTGAGTCATTCCCCAATCCAAGAGCATCCCCCAGCTGACATATTCAGGTTCCTCGGCGAAGAGTCCTACGCCAAAGGACAGTCGCGCGACTACCTGATCGACGAGCACCCAACATGGTGCATTGATCCCCTAGATGGTAATAACCATAGCCACACTGTATCCCTGCCATCTTGACATGAAATAACTCCCCTTACCTGACCAGGAACCGTCAACTTCACACATATTTTCCCCATGTTCTGCGTTTCCATAGGCTTCATCGTCAACCACCGTCCCATCATCGGCGTGATCTACGCTCCTTTCCAGGACCAGCTTTTCTCGTCTTGTTTAAACCGCGGCGCATGGTTAAACGAAAAGCGCCGTCTCCCGCTCATCCGCAATCCGACCATCCCACCCATGCCGCCCAATGCTCCCAGCAAGTGCATTCTATCCTGCGAATGGGGCAAGGACCGTCGCGACATCCCCGACGGGAACCTGCATCGCAAGATTGAGAGTTTTGTGAACCTAGCAGCAGAACTGGGTAGTCGCGGTGGCAAGGGAGGTATGGTGCACGGAGTTAGGAGTCTAGGAAGCGCTACGTTAGATTTGGCGTACACGGCTATGGGGTCATTTGATATCTGGTGGGAGGGTGGTTGCTGGGAGTGGTACGTTCCTTTTTCCACGAATCTTTCCATCTTTCCGAGTTATATTTGGCTAAATCGAGTGTGGTTGGTAGGGACGTCGCAGCGGGTATCGCCATTCTCTTGGAGGCAGGCGGCCTGGTCACAACCGCCAATCCCCCGGAGGACCCGGACACTGCGCCCATTGAAGATGTTCGACTCGGCAGCCGACTCTATCTTGCCATTAGGTATGTGACACTCTTTTTTTGCCTTGTGGCTTAGTACGGCATCTAACTGTAGTAGACCGGCTGGTCCGTCGGCGACAGAAACCGGACGCCAGACGCAGGAGCGCACTGTGCGGGAAGTGTGGAAGCGCGTGCGACAGCTGGAATATACCCGGCCGGGCGCGTGAGCATCTCAGCTATAGATATACACCGATATATATTACTGATAGAATATCCATAATAGTTACTATACAGGACAGAAGCGACAAGGAGGGAAAGGCATGAAGACATCATATTGCACTATATACAGCAGCCAGATCCACGTATGTACCTAATCAAACACACGTCATATCTATCATCGGGCTCTCTTCACTGAGCCAGCCCTATTCTTTTGAGTTTTGGTCTTCCATAACAAGCAATGCACCGGGTATGCGAGAGTCTATACAGGAATGAATCATCATGAAACATGTCGGATGTTGAAGGGATAAAGAAGGAGGCGAAAGGAAGAAAGCTTTTACAGAGTAGCCTTCTCCCTCTCAGCCAAATTCTTGGCCACAAGCTCCTTGGCCGTATCCAACAAGCCAGGAACAGCCACCACATCCTTTCCAGTCCAAAGCTTAGCCTGCTCCAGACCCTGCCAGAGCAGCGCCTCGGAGCCAACGATAACCTTCCACCCGGCGGCATCAGCCAACTCGGCAATCTCGGTCCAGATAACAGGGTGGTAGCACATCTCCAGAATAACGCCCTTGGGCTTGCCATCCTCCTTGGCGCCCAACAACGCCGTCAGGACATTCCTGGCACGAATCTCCTCCTCGGTCTTAGGCGGGTAGTTGGGGATACCCGAGACAATAGCAGCGGGGCTCTCCAGGGTCTTCGCAACCTCGGGATCCGTAACGTGGATCAAGGGCGCCTTGTCCGCGGACGGATTGCGCTGCTGATCCTCCTCCATGATGGCCTGCACCTCACTAGCATCACGGTTCACAATGTAGATCTTGCTGGCGCCGAGCCACTTGCGCATGACATAGATGGCGGAGCGAGCGGTACCACCACCACCGACAACGAGGGCAGGCTTGCCAGCGAACCGCTCGGCCGCGTTAGCGGTGTTCTGGACGAGGGCTTCGCGAATACCGATGCAGTCGGTGTTGGTACCGACGTAGGAGCGGGAGCCGTCGGCATTGTCGCGCAGGAAAATGGTGTTGCAGGCGCCGGCTTGGCGGGCGTCTTCGGTGAGGTCGTCCAGGTGCGGCATGATGGAGACCTTCCAGGGCATGGTGACGGAGGAGCCGACGAATTTAGGGTTGGCGCGGATGGAGGACAGGAAGGTGTCGATGGGCGGGGAGCGTGTGTACGGGGGAGGGTAGGTAGCGGAAGTGCCGCAGACGCTGGAGAGGGGGATCTGAATCCAGTTCAGTCCGAGGTGGTTGTAGATAGCGGCATGGAGGGGAGGAGAGAGGGAGTTCAGGAGGGGGTGGCCGTAGAGGTAGGCGACACCATCCCGGTCCTGGGGGATGGTGATGGGTTCTTCAGGTTGAGTGTTGTTGGAGGATGCCATGTTGGGCGGATTTGTAGGTGGTTAGTTAGCGATTTGTGAAGGATCGCAATGAATTGTAGTTTTTATTTCCGGAGAGGAAGAATTGAAGGGAGGGAGGAGGGGGAATTGAGATGGGGAAAGAGAGAGCGAGAAGTGGGAAATTCAAGGGAATGTTTTAAGGGCCCCGCGAGCCACCGATGGCGGAGAAACGTTCGACGAAGGATGGATGCGGCAGGGTGAACCCTTTCCCGCGCTGAACTTCCGCCGGCCAAGTCCTTTCCCCAGCCTACTAAATCTCGTAGTTCAATCTCCCCCGGAATCCCCCCGAACTCAAAATCACGCGCATGACATTGAACCCATCACCAATGAGGTGCTGATCGGCTAAGTCCACCCCGTATTACTGCTGAGAATGCTCCGATACTGCGGAACAATTGCAATTGTGTGCCCCTGGTTGGAAACTCAACACCCCGCAATCGTAACGCTTGGACTTTTTGGTTCAATATCCCGGGGTTTGACTGCTGATTCCCCCCATTCATACTGCTTCTATTACGGAATTTGAGTTCACGACCATGCACAAGCGCACCGTTAACGCCGACGGCAAGCATGAGCAAGGAAATCATGCTGAGAGTGGACTTTCTAGGGATTGCAGTCCTTCCACCAGCATGATAGCTAACAAAAAACCCTTTTGGAAAATGACCAACAAATCCAATAAATAGGTACACACACACAGAGCACTGCAGAGATGAGGAGATCAAACTCTCCACTCAACCCAGGGACCCACAGGTTTCATGCGCTACAAGAACTCCTTGGCACATGTTCCGCCGGTAAAGGGTTCATCTGCTTCTGCCCCGGGTATCCATCGCACGGGGTGTTCATATCCGGACTATCTGGGAGGAGTCTACTGAATTTTCCCAGTAAATGTGACCTTGCATACATTGGGCAGGTAGTTTATAAACAGAATCCATTTTGCAGCTATATCATGGATAAATGGCGGGTTACTGCACTTTGACGCCGACAGTATCCGCCTACCTCCTAAGTGTGGAGGTGGAAGCTACCTATGAAGCAGTCCTACTAGTATGGCAGATTTGAGCTCTCCAGGGTGATGGCTTTCGAGGGATGCAACCTGCTGCGAGCTGGGAGTTGATGGATATGATAAAGTCACGTGATTAGTATGCGGTTATCGAACCGGCGATAAACGCGCCGACGATTTTCCCGCCTGATAACGCCACCCTTGCGATAGCCATCGTCTACCGGTTCGATTGTCAAGCTCGCCCTCTCCCAGTCACTCTTTCAAAGAAGAAATGGTGACAGAGGAACAGTCAGCGCCCCCGCCCGGAGCCGGGATGGGCACGCCCGGCGGTCCGAAGCGGACTCCGCTGACTCCAGAGCAATTGCGGAGAATAGTACATACTATGATCACGGTTCCTCTAGTTCGGAGCTAACACGATACTGAAATTAGGAAAGCAACCGCCAGAAAGCCATAGCAATACGGGAGCAACGCGAAGCAGAACAGGCTCGGGCTCACAATGCTGACCCTTCATCTACCAAAGGTGTCAAACGAACGTACTCCTCCATGACTGCCTCCGATCCCCCGGCGACTCTGCGCGATGCGGCCTCTACAGATAACCGCCCACTAGATGGCATCAAGCCGGCGCGCAACTTTACCAAATTCGTTGAATATGACTTCTCTAAGATCACGGACACGAAGGGAGGGTTCTTGACCGAAGAAGATGACCGGTTCAACAAAGCCCTTCACGTTCGGGATGAGAAGGCGGAGCAAAAGCCAGCACACATGACGCAGAAGGAATGGGAGCGACAACAGCTGCTGAAGAATCTCCATCGAGATCGAGCGGGAATTTTTGAACCGGGGCTGAGTGTGCTGGATGAGCGGACGCAACAGAAAACATGTCGAGAGTGTGGCAGCTTAGAAATCGACTGGAAATGGGAGGAAGCTTTCCGATGCTGTGTCTGCCATGCTTGCAAGGATAAATTCCCGGACAAATACAGTCTGCTTACCAAGACTGAAGCACGAGAGGACTATCTCTTGACCAATCGTGAGTATCCCCCCCTCTCCTGCACAGGTTTGCGACAGGTGTTGCCACCGAGCATTTTTGCTGATTACGGGACAAAACTACAGCCGAGCTTCAGGATGAGGAGCTCCTCCCACATCTTGAGCGCCCGAATCCGCATAAATCGACGTGGAATAATATGATGCTGTATCTACGGTACCAGGTCGAAGAATACGCCTTTTCAGCCAAGAAATGGGGTTCGCCGGAAGCATTGGACGCGGAATTCGAGCGACGCGAGAATGAGAAGAAGCGCCGGCGGGAGGTCAAATTCAAGAGCAAACTGGAAGACCTCAAGAAACGTACACGAGTCGACGCATACCGACGAAGCCGTCAAGGAGCAGCCGGTGGTAACTTCGGTGATGACTTGGGGAATGGTGGACGACATGTACATCAGTGGGGAAGATCGGTTGAAGATCCCAAGACGGGGATTGGGGTCAAGAAATGCGTTGACTGCGGGATGGAAGTCGAAGAACTCGAATTCTAAATCATTAATGAACATATTCCTGTACATGGTACTGTCGTCCTGCTCTCATCTAGGTGTTGCAGATACACTCGGTCGCCGATTACTGCCTGAGGTATTGATTTGAAAAGCGCCAAGCGGCGTGGCTCCGCGTACTCTTACCGGACTGGCCCTCCGTAATCTACTGCTTCAGTATTTCTTGGTATCAGCAATATCTCCGACACCTGGAATAATAATAGGTATGTACAAACGAAAAGAAATACCACGTCCTCCGTTTCCAAGGTGCATAACACCCCGAAAGCATACAAGGATGTCTGAGTGAGAGTCACAAAGATCATCCCGAGTCAATGCCGCTTCGGCCGGGACTATACCACATCCAGCCGACCCGGGGATCCACCCAGGTCCTTCGAGTTTCCCATCCGGGCAAGGAAGGGCTGTTACATGCGGAGACGAGCAAACAGAATGAATGGTTCGCAGTCTTCGGGGCTGCTTTCCCTCGCAGGCTGCTATGTCAGCGTTTCTTCTTCTTCTCTTTCCTCCTCTTTCTTCCTCCTCCACTCCTTCTTCCCCGACTTACACAGACCCTTCTGCCCACTCTTCATTTGCCTTCATCCGTTTTCATTATTGCATCATCTTTTCCTTAGTTGCTTGATTGACTACTACTGAAACTGCAGAGTGTTCATCTGTTTGATGGATGGCATGAACAGTGCCCTGTGATTTCACGCTCGCTGGGATGACTGTGAAGCATTAATGGGAGATGGATTATTCAAAAGATGACGATACATCGACGTCTGCTAACACTCGCTGGTCGCTGAAAAGCAAAAGAAACAACAGGTGCAATCGAATCGAGAATATACAACCAATGACCCCGCCCCTAGACGTCGGTCTTGAACGATGTTAGGCGCGCCTTGAGTTCCGCCTCCGACTCATCAATGTCCATCTCTCGAAGAACACCGCTGCCAACATCATATATCAACCCGTGAACCTGAAGCCCCCGATCCTGTACGGCTTCCAGGATGACATTCTTCTCCTTCAACAGTTTGACACCCTCCAGAACATTCAATTCCACCAGCTTAAGGTTGGCTTCGTCGGCCGGCAGCGAGTTCAGCAGATCCAGGTGTCTCGCGCGGAGCTGGCGCAAAGGCAGCAGCCAGGGATCGAGAATACCCAGTTGTTTGTTACCCAGTGCTGCAGCAACACCACCACAGCTGGTGTGGCCGCAGAGGACTACGTGCTTGACCTGCAGGTAGCGGACAGCATACTCGATCACGGCTGAAGAGCTGAGGTCGCCGGCATGGATGACATTGGCGATATTGCGGTGAACGAAGACGTCGCCCGGTTTGAGACCAAGAAGGGTGGTCTCAGGGCATCGAGAATCAGAGCAGCCAATCCAGAGGATCTCCGGGTGCTGGCCGACCGCGAGTGTAGGGAAGAGCGAAGGGTCCTCCTTGGCAATCTGCGCTGCCCAATCCTTGTTCTGATGCAGAGCAGAGGTGAAGCGATCTGAAGAGGCAATATTAGCACACGCTGGTGGCTTGGTGGCTGAAAAGCAAGCGATTTGTCGATATGGGTTTGTGACTGGGCGGAAAAGAAGACGGCGAGGGGTATGAGGAACACCGGCTCCACAGCCCTTATACAATTGTCGCGGTCGCAAAGCAAGCCTTGTGGAATTCATCATGGGGTGAAAGGGTTATGGGGAACAAGAAAGAAGGGTTTGCTCAACCGGAAAACAGCAAAAACGCAGTCAACGGAGGATGAGTCACTTTGCCTGTGCACGGGGGGTGGGCTTTGTGGAATCACGGAGCCACATCCAACAATCACAATCTTGCTCTGGAGGTGTGCATACGCTCAATGAAACAGCGGTACAGGAATGTGGATGCAAAGACACAACGCAAGTTCACAGTGCTCATGGAGTTGGGGAGGGTGGGAAAATCGTGGGTCGCGGCCTCTTTGCGAAGCCGTCCAGGAACGTGTCCAGGAACGCCAAGAAAGCATGGCTCTTGAGTTTATGCTCACGTACCTGTGCTAGTGGTCGACGCCATGATATCTGATGCTGGAGAGAGTTGATCGAGGAAGTTTTGCAATGATGTTTCAGTCGGATTGTTGGATTTGGATGCTATGGAGTAATCTGAGCTGGCAAAGGGGCACTCCTTTCCTTCTCCCCGCCGGAATCCGGGGGAGATTCTCCTGCCACTTCCAGGCCTGCAAACAGTGCAAACACCCACCACGTGAGGGTCTCACCGGAGCCCCGAAAGTGCCGTCGGTCATGCTACTCTCTAATCATGCGATCACAGATAGGCGTCGATTAATTGTCTGATCGCTGTTTCTCTATCTCTTCATCGGTTCCACTGCCATACAAGCCACGTCGGAAGTCCGAGGGTCTCGCAAACGTCGCATGACACCGCTCGCGATTTTACGAATTTTTTCCAGCTAAGACCATCGATATGGCTCAGTACACAGGCAGGCCGTGGCTCGCCTGAGTTTCTGTTCTCTCCCGGAATCACACAACTCGATCTACTTCCCTCCGCCCGGTCCCGCTCGATTCGACTCAAAAGTGACCGCGGTCTGGCCTGGCACTCCCGCAGCCTACGAATACGAATTGCCTGTGTCGTAAGCAGAACGGGGCACCCCGATTACGCTTCGCTCTGCATTGCCACTCTTATAGCCTCTAAAGTCATCCATTCTTGCAGCGGTCTCATCGTGTTGATGACAGGAGACCCGACCGATGACAGGAGACCCGACCCTCGTTTTAAAGGTGAGTGGGCCCTTTTGCTCTGAAAGGGTCCTCAGGACCTAAACCCCGCGGGGTGTGTAGAGGTGTAGACCCCCACGTAAGAGTCGGTCTCACTATGAGACTCGCAAAGTAACCTATTCAACTACGCTTATTCGGGATAGAGAATTGAATAATGTCCTATTAATTTAACATTTCTACAACATGACGATCGTGAATTGTCATTCCCTTAGCTGTACCCATGAATAGCATGAATAACAATCAATGCACTCCACAACGAACCACTTATAATGTCTTCTCAATATACTGGCTGAATATCTGGCCGATCTGTTTCGCACTGTCCTTCGGGATCCTCTTCTGGCCATGCTCATAGTCGACGTAGGTCGACCCAAACCGGGTCTCGTAACCTTCAGCCCATTCGAAGTTACTAGTCCAGTCAGTAAGCCCACATAACAACATTCAGGGAATAAGTATATCGCAGTACTCACTCCATCAAACTCCAAGCCATATAAGCCCGCACATTCACCCCATCCAGCGTGTACGCATCCGCCATAGCAGCAATATAATCACGGAAATACTGCGTCCGGAACTCATCCTTCAGCAGCTCCTCCAGCGGCAAGTCATTCTCGCCCTTCAAGCTCGTCCCATTCTCCGTAACATAGATTTTAGGCTGACCATACCGATCACTCAGCCATTTCAACAGCTTCCGGAATCCAAGCGCATACGGTCTCAACCACGCAGACTGTGTCTCTGGGCCAATGAACTCGCCCTTCTTGTTCTTAAGCAGGATCTCCAGATTTCCAGCGGTATCGTCGGGATCCGCCTCACCGGTTTTGGCTTTGATGTAGTTGGCGCAGTAGTGGTTCATGCCGTAGAAATCATTGCTGCCGTGAACGAGAGCGATGTCTTCTGCGGTCCAGCGCGGGAGTCGGTCCCCGAGCTGCTTAACCATGCTGTCTGGATACTTTCCGTGATAGATGGGGTCGGCGAACCATGAGATGGCGAATTCGATCTTGCGGTCGCACGCTTCGACGTCCGCTGGGTTTTCGGGGTCCCAGGGCTCGGCCCAATCTCCTATATATGAAAAGATAAGTAGAAGTAATTAAGAAGAAGTGTCCAAACATATACATACCGTTAAGCGTAATCCCTATCTCCCCACCATCCCTACCTTTAAACTCCTCTCGATAGATCTTCACCGCAGCCCCATGAGCCACAAGGATATTATGACCCACAATCCAGCACTCCCTCGAGCTATCCCCCTCGGCGCTCTTACTCCGATCACTCGTCCGACCCGGAGCAAATTGCCCGACATTATACCCGAGAACGCTACTACACCATGGCTCATTAAAGGTAATCCAATGCTTGACTTTTGAGCCCAGGGCCTGGAACATGACTCGAGCGTAGTGTGCGAAATCCGCTACGAATTCCTCCTTGTTTAGGAGTCCACCGTACCGCTTGTCGAGTTCATCGGGCAGATCCCAATGGAAGAGTGTCACAAGAGGTGTGATCCCGGCTGCTAGGAGGTCGTCGACGAATTTGACGTAGTGTTGAATTCCCTTTTCGTTGATGGGGTCGTTGCGCCCTCCTAGGGGGATGATGCGTGACCTGGATGGATGGATGGTTTAGAATGACGTTCGGGGTGTGATTGAACATCTGTCATGGCATCGCGCTTACCATGAGATTGAAAAGCGGTAGGCTTGGGCACCGCATTCTTTTAACAGTGCGATGTCTTCCGCTGTGCGATGGTAGGAGTCGCAGGCTATGTCTCCGTTGGCGCCTCCGGCTATCTTGCCCGGGATTTTGCAGAATGTGTCCCAGATGGATGGACCACGGCCATCTTCGGTTACGGCGCCTTCAATCTGATAGCTGTTGATGATTGAATTAGTACTCTAGTAGTTGACTACTCGGAGTGTAGTATGGACTGAGTGGGGGGAGGAAACGGATGGAAAGATGGTACCTGGCAGTCGCGAAACCCCAGAGAAAGTCCGGAGGCAAGGTTGAGGTTGTTGCTGAACCCATGTTTTGAACTTATTCGACAAGTTGAAGAAGAGCGATGGTCTTTAGATTGAGAAAGAGATTGATGTCAGACAGCAGCGAGGATGGGAGATTTATGGGATGTTTATATAGATCATGTTGGATGTCCGCCAAGGAGGATGAATCCGCGCTAAAGAGAGTGGGGAAAGCGGGGAGGGTAGTACGGACATCAAGGTGAAAGAAATTGGTCGGATCCTGCCTGACTTCAAAAATCCAAAGTGGAAGTGTTTACTAGTAATTGAGGGGGATCAAAGAGGATCATACTAGTAAGGATGATGGAGGGAGAGAGACACTGGGAAGATTGACGGCTGGACGGGCCGACCTCCGAAGTGTAACAGGCATAGCGTGGTCTACTACTATATACTATCAACTAGTAAGTACTACTAACACTACCATGATGGAACCACTGATGGCTGGCTTGCCAAGATATATCAATGCTGTGACTACGCCCAAGTCCCATTATTTATCCATGCTCATCCTCGCCATATGTGCGTTGGAGACGAATTTGCGCTAGAATATGAAAGTTGATTGATGCCTCTGCCAGGTTTCTAGGCGGGACCGGGTGACGTATGGTTTATTGTTCAACACGGGATTCTGATTCTGTTCTCAGATACGCCCACTTCAATGGTAATATGGACAATATGGCCCTGGTCCATGGATCCCTCTACTGATCATCTCCGCTCAATTATTTATTTATTTCTATTGTCCTTGCTGCTTTTTGTTGATGAAGACGTTGGTGGTCGAGTAGTAATAGCCGCGGCGATAGACCGCGGAAGCATCTGTTTGCATCCACCACTGCCAAGTCTAGAACTGGACACCTTCAGCATTCAACACACGTGTGAGCCGAAGTGCTCGTGGATGGGGAAGAAGGCGGCCGCAGGCTATTTTATGAATCAAATACCAAGCGGGTTATGTTTGGCAGGCACGTCAGCCGAGTCAATTCTTGCAATGGAGCCCGATTGAATGCGACTCCGAAGGCGTCATCAACAGAGCTGAACATAGTGGCAAGCTGGAACTAAATCGCTGTTTCAAACACAAAATCCCGAGTCAGAGCATTACCGGCAGTATCGGACCAAGATGAACGGAGCAGAAAGCTACCGACGGGCTCATGCATGACACTGAGCCGAGGAAGCAAGGGGAGATCTAACAATGCGCTTGCAGAAATTTTCCGAGACCCCCTAGATCGATGGCAGACACTTTAAGAGTGTGGAATTTGTCGTGCTCGATGAATGCCTATTCAAAGGTACCTAATGTATTTTGTGTAGGAGCTGAGGCATCTAAGGTACAGGCAGCCCAGTCATTCCTCTGGGGGGTAGATGCGTGCGGGTGAATGTTGTTTTGGAGGTGCTCGTGCTCTTTGCCACTAAACTCTGCTGAGATCGTGTCACTACTGCTTCTATACTAACCTGTTAGTACGTGAATCCGTCATTGGTGACTTCTAATAGAAAAGTAGAAGGCGATCGGTTAATTGTAGTGTTCAGCGCAGTCAAACCTCCATTGCCTTGGTAAGAGGGAAGTTGTAAGAATCTAATTTTGGCTACACACCCATGATAAGGCATCTAAGTAAAGCGAACAATCTAGGTGCTGCGATATGTCAGACAGCATGAAATAAATGAGTCTGTAAGCAGGCTTTACTCTGCCAGCATACCGTACGAGGAAATGTGTTATCATCAGTGCTATTATGAACGGAGACGGACGGTCAATTCCAAGGCAGTGTGGTGATTATGATGCTAATCTTTCAGTTCTGAATCCGAAGCATTCCCACTATTAGGGTGTACAGGTCAGTGAGAAGCAGCCATCAAGATGGAACGGATTCTGGGGTGGCCTCCCTGTTATGCCTTGTTTTGCAGGGTGAAGGGGATGGCCGAAACCGTCTCCGCCTCATGGTATCTGGGTCCTCTACCATGGAGAAACAGGAATCGGTACGATCCGTCCGCGCTTGCGGGAGATCCATACGTACCACGCAGGATCCACGGCGAACTTGGGGAATATTTTGTTTTATTTTATGACATGAAAGTGGCTTGTTGTTCGAGGATGATCACGGAGTGGCTTCCGATCGGAGCAAAGCTAAGGATGGGAGGGAGGGACGGATGCGGGCAGCTCTCGGTCAGCAAGGGCCTAGGCTAGACTAACCCTACTATGCGGGCCGGTCTCAGCGCACCGGCATGTCTGTTGTTATTATTATTATTATCATTGCTGTTGTTAATTCTCTCCGAAAGACAAAAGATACTACTAATGTTGTCTAGAATGTTGGGCTTAGATGCAAGCACCGCGCTGCAATGATGTCTGTCTTCATCGGATTTTAACCAGTTAGTTAGTGAATTGATTCTCTGTAGGGTGCGATCGGGTTGGATCCTCCCGAAGATGTGGGGAGTTGCAGTGGGGAACTGCATGTATAGTAAAAGTAGTAGTATACTATCTAATACATCCTGGTATAGATAGAGATAACTAGTGTTTACCACTTATTTTGGGAAGATGGCCCTAAACAGGCCATAAACAATCCAATTGAGCAGATTGTTTGTTTGCGGGAGGGTGGAAGAGATCACGTGCAGCGAGAGCAGCCCCGGAAGCGAAAGCGATCGAGGATCGAGATCGGAGACGCCCAATCCTCGCCTCATTCCACCCTTCCCATCCCTGCTGGGGAAAAAAACTAAAGAGATGCTTCCGAACACTATGAGCACCTTCGAGTCAATATCGCTACCGCTTTCCTCTGCATTCCACTCCTTAGGCCGACATTCTGGCCCGAGTTCGGTAAACCATCTTTCTATGCTCCAGCTCTGCCGAACCCTCCACAATTCCTCCATAACAAGCACAATAACAAGTATGGCGCTCCAAACTTATAAGTCCCGCCTCGACCGGCATCGAGATCTCAGATCGTATTCATCGCACATCTCGATCCGCTCAGAGAGAGTTAGTCAACTCATTACTTATCCGCCGCTCCCTTTCCTGGCACTTCGCCCAGCATGAAGTGGACCCAGCTCAACACGCTGGTTCTGCCAGTCCTGTCATGCCTCATCCAATTCTCCTCTTCCCGTGTCGTGGATTTCAGACTCGACTTGACATGGGAGAATAGCAATGTTGCGGGTATCTCCCGCAAGGCCATCCACACCAATGGCCAAGTCCCAGCACCAAATCTCCGCGTGAACCAAGGCGACCAGGTGAGAGTTCTGGTCAACAACTCCATGCCATTCGGCACCACAGTCCACTGGCACGGTAAGCTCATCGCAGCGCGGCAACACGCCTATCCCAATCCTCGGCCCTGTTCCTTTGGTGAGATGCTGACCCACGGACTAGGTATCCCTCAGTATGGCACCCCATGGTCAGACGGGGTCCCGGGCCTCAACCAAGAAATGATCAAGCCTGGTGAGCAATTCTACTATGAATGGACAGCCACCGATTACGGCTCCTACGCCTATCATGCCCACACCAGAGCCCAGATGGACGACGGTCTCTATGGTGCCATCTATGTAGAACCGCGTGCAGACGTGCAGAGACCGTTTAGCAAGATCAGCAGCATCCCGTACGAACTCCAAGCCATGCTGCAAGCTGAAAAGAACACCCATCCAATCATGCTCTCCGATTGGCGAGTTTTCACGTCCGAGGAGACTTTGCAAATCGAAGAAGACTCTGGAGTCCAGGCGACTTGTACTAATGCCATCCTGGTCAATGGTAAAGGGTCGGTTATCTGCCCCCCGCAGGACCACATCAATGACCTCACCCGGTCGGGTGAATGGACTGCGCTTTCAAGCGCAGGAAATGCAACCATGTCTGATATGGGGTAGGTCTATTGTCTTCTTCATTCTTGATCTCTTCATTCCTTTGCTTTCTCTCTTGTTGTTATTGTTGCATGCTATCGATCGGTTCACTTACCATGTATCAGCTGCATGCCACCCCTTAAAGCCCGTCTGGGCGGGTTCCCGTTCGACGTGAGCAAGATTCCGTCGGGGTACTACCAGGGTTGTGTACCGACCGTTGGTGAGCAAGAAGTGCTTTCCGTCGACCCGAGGACCCGATACGTCAGCTACGACCTCATCAGCCTACCTGGCACGTCCAACTTGGTTTTCTCCATCGATGAACATCCTATGTATCTCTATGCGGTCGATGGCCGCTATGTCGATCCCCTGGTGGTCGATGCTATCAACGTCTACGCTGGATCGCGGTACTCGGTCCTTGTGAAGCTAGACCAACCCATTAGCATATATACCGTCCGCGTTGCTAACAAGTTCGCAAACCAAATCATCAATGGCACCGCCCTGATGTCCTACTCTGGCTCCAATCCAAGCCAGTTCAACACCTCTACACGTTACATCAACGAAGTCGGTACCGCGGCTGGTATCAACGGCACTATCATTCTCGACGAGGCCCAAATCGTCCCATTTGAACAGGAGGCGCCTGCTCCCGAGCCAGACCAGACCCAGATCCTTCAAGTCAATCTCTATAACGCCTCCTATCGCTGGACTCTCGGCGAAGCCAGTTATCCCATGGCCAATGAGGATCTCACTCCCCCTGCACTTTTTAACTACTCCTCAATCCCCGCCGAATACACTGTCATGACTAAGAACAACACCTGGGTAGACATTATCTTCAATATGACCTCGATCGGGCAGCCGCAGCACCCGATCCACAAACACTCCAACAAATTCTTTGTCCTTGGCTGGGGCGCCGGGGTATGGAAATGGCCTACCGTGGCCGAGGCAATGAAAGAAATCCCTGATAGCCTCAACGTGGTGAATCCTCAACTCCGCGACACCTTCCAGACGCCGGCATCGACGCCGAACCATAGCTGGTTAGCGATCCGCTATCATGTGGTCAACCCCGGTCCGTTCTTCATGCACTGTCATCTGTCCATGCACGAGAGCGGTGGGTTAGCTGTGGCCCTGTTAGATGGGGTGGATGCGTGGCCGACGGTACCAGACCGGTACCAGTTGCCAGCGTTGGCGGACCCGGCGGAGAACACTCCAGCAACGCATGGATTGATGGATCATCCTGGCTTTGACTGAGTGACCATCCGTTAGCTGACTGTTTTCTTCACTGCCAATTCATCATCTTGCATATAGCCGGCGTTCTCGCGATGTGTGAGCGGCTTAAGGCGTTGGGGTTTTTCATTGGGTTCTATTCTGTTCTTGCTTGGCGGATCTTCATGCATTATCTGTCATACTTACATGTTGCTTCCTGTTTCTGTTTCGATGTTCATCTGAGACTGAATTATCTGGCATATACTTTGAAGATGGGCATGGTAATTAGCTATCGTTAGCCTGCATCTATTTCATATTCAATATAGAGTTTACAATTCGTTTTACATGACCCGTCGGAGGAGCACCTTTAAACAGGCTTTGCATAATACTAGCACCTACTATATTTTTGTTTGGCGAGTGCAGCTATGACAAGTTCATTGGTAGTTGGACTTATAGTGAACGTACTTCCTGATCCGTCCATACATACATACATATACATATACATACATACACTCACAGCATATATACATTATATATAGTAGTGTACTGCTATTGCTCCTTCTACAGAGTTACTGAAACGAAGACACACCAAGCAGCGGTTGCACTAGATATTCACCAACCTGGCACTGTAGGTCAAGGGTTAGATATCACTACTAATCATCTAAGTCCAACATGATTAGTTTCCGGTTCTTTATCTCAGCGCCCCGTTGATACAAACTATTACATTCTACCATATGCCACTACCTAAACCCTCTATCCGTGTGTACCCCAATTAGACAGGTGTTCTTTTAGCCGGATAATGAAATGTATTGTATTCCTCTAATGCCACCCCTTGTGTATGTAATGCACCCGCAACCATAAACAGAGTTTATGAACATGGACCTGGACTCCCAAGTCCTGCTTAATAAATCCCTTCTACAAGGTGCAAAAGAAAAGTCACTCTTCTCCATATACAAAGCACATCACATCACATCCACCCCCAGTCCCTCAATACCACGCAAGCACCGATAAATCCCTAGATGCCATAAGCACAAATAAGCCACCCACCCACCCACACCACCAACACAAACCTTAAAAATTTTCTGCATGCATGCATGCATACATGCATATCTAGTACCTATTACTAAATGTAATATAAACCCTGAAAGCAACCCAAATATCGCGTGGCTGGGCAAAAGGAAAGGAACCATCCATCCCCCTGGATTGGGATTGAACGCGATTTGCCTCCCCTCTTTTGTCCCAAGCAAGGGATGAATCGCCGTACGCGGAAAAGAAGGCGAGTTATGTAAGTAAACCTGGCATTTTCGCCCTTGGAAGGGAAGGACGGACACATTCTTAAATATGCGCTACGCTGTTCTCTGCACTATTGCTGCTGCATGCGATTGAGTGTCTCTTCCTCCCATCATTATCGTGGTTGATCCTATACGTGAGATACGAAGAACATCATCATCCAGCTATCGCTATCGCCATCATGTATTCCTTCAAAGCCATCACTCTATTGAGCACGCTGCTTCTGGCTGGGGTTGGGAGTGCGAGGTTGAGTACGACTGTACGTGTTCTTTCTCGAATAGCTAGCTAGTGCGGCTGGTTATAACCCTACAATGGATGAATATATGGATAAGATCTTTTACTGACTGACTGACTACTGTATACAGATCGGTCTAGAGACAGACGAAGGCAGCCACTCCGTTCAGATCCCCTTCGATGACTGTACTCAGGTTGGGCAGTTGTAAGTTGATCACTCACCAACATCGATTAAACCAGAAGAGAAAGAAAGAAAAGGATAAGAAGAAAGAAAGAAAGAGACGAAGAAAGAAAGGGCGGATTCAATTAACATATATTATTATCACCCGTCACAGTGAAGTTCGAGGCGTGTTCCTCTCCAAGACGTGTCGTCTTTTCACGTAAGTGATTTCTTTTCTCCATGATACTTGACTTTCCATAGTGCATACTGACTCGAACATGTTTCTATAGTGGAGTAGGCTGCACCGGACGAAACACCCTCCTGCAGCCTGGTGAACATACCTCGTCGGAGCCGGTATATGTCGATAGTGTGCTGTGCTACCCGTGAAGGGACTTACTTGGTTGTTCTTGGGGTGGTCCGGTGGTTTGGGGGTGTATAATATGAGTTGGATGAATGGATGAGTTGATGGAAATTATGGTATAATGTGTCATACTAGGTTGAATGGTAATTGTTGAGGTGGAATTTATATCTTGCCATGTTTATTGATTTCGGTAGAAACCTATCGGAGGCTGGGTAGGAGATATAGAGGGACTCCCTTCTTACGATTCTCCTTTGAGATGGGATTGGACTGATGAGGTGATACTCGAGGTACCATTTCGGCCTTTCGTATTTGATGTGTATGTAGGTCGTAGGTCATAGGTGATTTGTGCAGATGAGCTCCTGTGGAAGGCGACCTACTGCACGTAAGTTCGTGATAGCATATCACTTGCTGCTCCTGAAGGAACTGAGTCCCATGGAATTACTTTCTGGTTTCCGGTACGATGCAGCGGTCCAGAAAACGGGTTCAGGTGTGATAACCGTGTTTACCAGGCATCTTGACTGGTTTCCTTTCTGAGACACCACCTCCGATGACTCGTGTATAATCTGCTCATCTCAACATCACTCCTTTTTCCTCCCCTCCAGCACACGCATCACATCCGTCACACTGTCCTTGTCGCCCTTCTTCTTCTTCGGCCCTCGTTTCCTCTTCTTCCCGCCGCGTCCCTCGTTCTCCAGCACTACCTCTTCGTCCTCCTCGTCATCGTCATTGCGACTTCCTCCAAAGCCCATGTCCATATCCATCGCATCCAGGGCTTCCCGCCGACGCGCCTCCTCCAGGAACCTCTTTCGTCGAAGCGCCGTCTCGTCGTCGACATCTTCAGCATTAGCATTGGCAGCACCAGCCTCCTCGGATTGTCGTAACGCAGCAGCCCGTTTCAGAGCCGCCAGTAGAGTAGGATCTTTAGCCAACGGGTTCGACCGGTCCACTTCAGGGACTTCATCCATTGTAGACGTAGAAAAGTAATTTCGAGGCCGACTTGTTGTCACCTCCGGTTTCTTCGTATCACCGGTAGCAGGAGCTGGTTCTGTGGCCTTTGGCTTCTCGCCATCTTCACTCTCATCAGACGAATCATCATCATCTGGTAGATCACCAAGCGGGCTATAGTCATCTCCAACGCCAGCAAAAATATCGTCGTCATCATCCTCCGCCGGCGCGGGTGCCTTGGATGCAACCTCTGCTGGAACCTCCATGCCCAGCGGCTTCGCATCCTTGTCCGGCATCAATAATCCAGCAGGTCCATCACTAGCACTGGCACCAACCTCACCAGGCTTGTCTAGCCATCTCACCTTCCTCTTCGTCTTGCCCTCCGCATCCGTGATCTGTAGGATCTCCTTCCTTCGCCCATTCTCATCCTGCTCCACCCAACGCTTCTTCTCCGCCTTGGACTCTCCCCCGATCCTCTTAAACTTGGTCCCCAACGCGGGCTCAGCCGACTTCGCCGCCTCAGCCGCAGCAGCAGCCCGACTAGCCTTCAACTCCCTGAGAATCTCGTCTCTTGATTTTCTCTGAGCCATGACGCCCTTCTTCTTCTCCTTAGTCTCCTTCGGGGCAGCAGTCAATGCATCCACCCCCTCGCCCTTTTCTCCCAATACCCGATCCAGCTCCTCATCCACATCTGCTACATCTTCTTTCTCTTTTGCCTCACTCTTCTCCCCCTCCCTATCCAAGACATCAACGTCCTCGCCCCCTTTAACTCTCCTCAATAACTCCCAATCCAACCCCTTGACCATATGCGTACTCTTCAGATCCCCACCCACCCCCATTTCGGCACGCAGGTTCTCAAACGTGGCCTGGTCAATCTGTCCTAGCTTGACCATCTCCTCCAACGCCTTAACACGCTTCTCCAGATCCGACACATCATCACCCCCACCTTCCCCTTCTTCCGCTTCCTCCTTCTGGCGCAACAATGCAGCCCGATCTTGATATCCGGACGGTAATTTCGTTCCCTTGGGGGCGGCGGACGATTTGAATTTCTTGGAAGCGGGTTGGGCTTCGCGGCGGTATTCGGCTAGTTGGCGCGCAAAGTCGACGTTTGTTAAGGCACGGCTGTGACGGAACGGTGGTTAGTAATGTCAACCTTTTAGAATGACGGTTACAAGCGCAGGTGGTGTTTGGGGGGATCAGCTCACGGAGTCATGGGGATGCTGGAGCGGAGGCGCGAGCCCAGAGCGCCGGCTGCGGGGGTCGCATTGCCGATGCTTTTGCGCGGTTGTTGTTGGGATGGAGAGGATGCATCTGGACTGGTGGATTTGGCGGCGGGTTTGGAGGAAGGGTTGTCGAGGACAAGGCGACGGAATTGGTCGTTGTTCATAGCTGGATGAGAAGGAAATGAGATGCGATGGATGCGATGCGATGCGGAGGGCGGAGGTTTTCCAAATGTGATGTGGTTCTGGGAGAGAGTATCCTTTCCGGGGAGATTTGTAGAAGATGACGCTATTGACACATGTCTCACAGTAAGATGCGCGTTGTAGGAGAGATTTTGTTTGTAGCGGGTTCAATGAAGATGGGAGAAAGTCGCGGCTTCATATGAAAGATGTTCAGACGTCAGGTTCTTGGCATCGGCATCGGCGATGACTGAGGTGCCTGAGGCTGACTACCTAAACTACTAGATATAAAATCACCACAAATTGGTAAGGGATTATGTGATGACTGATCATCGAAAAATAACGGTATGCAACATCATGATATTATATGCCTCCAAAGGTCCATGGTTTATTTAAAGCGACGACCAGAAATGGGGGAGAAAGGCGGCGGGAGATTGATACGACTAACAAGCGCTTCAACGGCCTCAAGGGAGGCTCCCAATTTAGCTAGAAATACTAACTAACAATCATTTTGTTCTACAGATGGCACTCAGGCTAACTAGCTAGTTTTAGGTTAAAATATTTTGTGTCGGAGGATCTACAGGATTTTTGATTTATTTATTTGTTTTATTTTAGATTTTTCCCCCTTCGAGATAAGGAACTACTTCCTACTAAGATCAAAGTCCTTAATCATCATTGACAATTAAATAAATGGTATAATATGAAACATCCAACATTAGACACAAATTACCTTAAAAGAAAAAGAAAGAGAGATCCTTTCGATGGTCTAGATTGATTAGTATCAGAAACTAGTTTACTAGCGGAGGGTTTAACAGGAAGAAAGTATCATATCAGGCCATAAGCTCCTCTTTCCTCTTTCTCCCGCGCGCGCCCTTTTGTCCCTTTTTCACATGTCACGCCACTCCCTCCAACTCCCCTTGTGTCAATCCAAACTCTCCAACTTTCCAACACTTTTTCTCCTTCATCCCTGCCTCATTGCTGCCTGCTTGTTTTCGCAGCATTATTTACCCTCCATCTTTCTCCTCCGATTCACGGCCATCGAAATATGCCCTTTGCATCCCGCCATTCTTCCTTGTCCTCTCGATCCTGACCTCCCTTGACTTTCCACCTCCGCGATCCCCCCGTCTCCCGCAAAAATGGCCGCCGCTGTTGTCGCCAATGGCCATACCACCCCCTCTGCCGATGTCGCCAAACAGCGCAGGCTAATTCACCACCATGCCGATGTCGTGATTGTGGGCGCCGGAATATTGGGATGTGCATTGGCGGTGGCACTTGGAAGACAAGGGCGTAGCGTCCTACTGTTGGAGGCGTCCATGAAGGAGCCTGACCGAATTGTCGGAGAATTGCTACAGCCTGGTGGTGTCGAGGCGCTCGAGAAACTGGGTCTTGCCGATTGTCTGGAGGACATTGACGCCATCCCAGCCAAGGGCTACTATGTGTCGTACTTTGGGAAACCCGTCTCGTTCGCCTACCCCAAGCCCTCTTCGTCGTCGCCCGCCCCGCAAGGGCGTTGTTTCCACCATGGCCGCTTCGTCATGAAGCTGCGGGCTGCCGCGCTGGCCTGTCCCAACGTCACGGTCGTAGAGACCAAGGCCACCGACTTGGTCACTTGCTCCCACACCAAGCAGGTTCTTGGTGTCGAGTGTGTAACCGGCGACATGAAGGATTGCTACTTCGGCCATCTTACGGTGGTGGCAGATGGCTACGCCTCGAAATTCCGCAAGCAATACCACACCAACACCCCTAAGGTCCGGTCCAGGTTCTGGGGCTTGGAGTTGATCGATGCAGACCTTCCCATGCCTTACCATGGCCACGTCCTCCTCAGCGACAATGCCCCTATCCTCGTCTATCAGATTGGCACCCACGAAACCCGCATCCTCATCGACATCCCAGAAAACCTCCCATCGGCCTCCGTCAAGAACGGCGGTGTCAAGAACCACCTTCGCAACGTCGTTCTCCCGTCCCTTCCCAAATCTATTCAGCCTTCATTCATTGCTGCGTTGGACAAGGGTCAGCTGCGCTCTATGCCGAACTCGTATCTCCCTAGTGCGCCGAACAAGACTCCCGGTCTGGTCATTCTAGGAGATGCACTCAACATGCGGCATCCGCTGACCGGTGGAGGAATGACCGTCGCATTCAACGACGTTGTGGTCCTACGTGACTTGCTCAGTCCGGAGAAAGTCCCCACCCTCGCTAATCATGAACAAGTCCTGCGACAGCTGTCTTCCTTCCACTGGCAACGAAAGAAAGCATCCTCAGTCATCAACATCTTAGCGCAGGCTCTCTATGCCCTGTTCGCTGCCAACGGTTCGTTTATCCTCCCCCCCATTGCACCCAGAGTCCCAGCAGCTAACGCCAGACCCCTCAATCTAGACGAAAATCTGCGTGCTCTCCAACGAGGCTGCTTCCGTTACTTCGAGCTAGGAATGACCAGCGGCCCCATAGGTCTTCTAGGTGGGCTGATTAAAAAGCCAGATGTTCTGTTCTGGCATTTCTTCAGTGTTGCCTTTCTCTCTCTTTGGCTCGTCATCACCGAGCATCCCTTTTACATGCTGCCTCTGGCCTTCCTGAAATGCATCATGGTTTTCTGGACCGCTTGCGTTGTGATTTTCCCCTACATGCTGATAGAGGCATTCTGCTAATGGGAAATCGCCACTGCCGTCACCATTAACATTACCATC